AACAAAGATGTCATTTGGCTGTATCACTTACGTCTTGGTCATCCCTCTTTTAGGGTTCTAAATATAATGTTTCCTCATTTATTCCAAGGATTAAATATTTCTGAGTTTCATTGTGACATTTGTGAATTGGCAAAACATATCCGTGTATCTTTTCCTATTAGCAATAAAAGAAGTTCTCATCCTTTTCATCTCATTCATAGTAACAAATGGGGTCCTTCCACTATACCTAATGTTTCTGGGGCTCATTGGTTTGTATCCTTAATTAATGATTGCACCCGAGTTACATGGCTCTTCCTTCTTAAACAAAAATTTGATGTTAGCACAGTTATGCCTAACTTCCATTCAATGGTTGAAAATCAATTTGGGGTCAAAATAAAAAGCTTTAGAACAGACAATGCTAGAGACAATGCTAGAGATTACTTCAATCAAATTCTTTCACCTTATTTTCAATCACAGGGGATTATCCATAGCTCATCATGTTAGTTCTTACTGCCACACAAATGATCAATAGACTTCCCTCCTGTGTGTTAGAAAACAATAGCCCCATAGAGGTCCTAAATAGCTTCTACCCTCACTTCAGAACCTCAAATGATCTCACTCTCAGGGTATTTGGGTGTACTGCATTTGTTCATGTCCACAAACAACATAGAGGGAAGCTAGATCCGAGAGCCATCTAGGTTACTCCTCCACTCAAAAGGGATATAAGTGTTATAATCCCTCTACCATAAAATTTTACATCTCTGCAGATGTCACTTTCACAGAAAATAAATCTTTAAAATAAAAGTCCTCTCTTCAGGGGGAGATTTCCATGATGGAAGATAGTACTTGTGAGCCATTTGAACCACTTAAAACCCTTGACCTTCCACATGTGCCAACCCATGTTATTGAACCTAGATCAAACTCTCCTCCTATTCCAGCTGAACCCGAGTCCTCTGAACCAATCACATATGAGTCACTTGATCATGAACCCTTATCATCTCCTACTCCAACCAATGTCACTAATGATTTCCCGAGATTTCCTCAGGTGTATTCAAGGAGAAAGGTCGTTCCTGAACTGACACAAGTCCAATGATCCAATCCACTCTATCCACTATCTCACTATGTATCTCTCAAGCGTCTATCACCGGCCCACAAAAGATTCATTGTGAGTTTGAACGTCATTGTCATTCCTAACAATGTGTCTGAGGCATTGACAAAAAAGGAATGGAGAGACGCTATGAAAGAGGAAAAGAGTGCTTTAGAAAAGAACAAAACATGAGATCGTTGACAAACCAAAGGA